CCATCAGGATATCTGTAAGTAAAAAGGATTAAGAGCTGAGTTATAAGATAAGGTCCAAGTCAGGAGTCAGCACACTGAGACTTGGCTCCTCCTGGTTTTAGCAAATCTGCAGTCAATGCTTTAGTTGAGCCTGATGAGCTGGGCCCAGAAAGCTTTAGAACAAACCTGAAAGACTATTACTTTACAGTAATAGTTATATTGTAGAGAAAATTCACATTTACAGTGAATGTTAGTCCTTAAATGATCGGCAAGAACAATGCTCTATAATTTGTAGATCTGTCTTTTTTAGCACATTTCTCCATGGACTACAGCAGAAATGGGGAGAGCACTGCTTTGGTTTTTAAAGCTTATTGAACCTTAGCAACAGTAACTAAGGGAGAGAAGAGCTTGATGCAGTGATGTAGTGATGAGTCAACTCCACAGGAGCAGCCAGAGTATAATTTGAGTACTGTCCTTCAGCTACACTCACTTATTTGATAGGTTTGTAACCTCTGGTTGGCTGTGTACTACTATCACTTTTTGAAGATTGAATCTGCAGTAGATGTGGGGGCGGTGGGAAACACAGCATATTTTTTTAAATAGGCAGTTCAGAGAAGTGTTCCAAGTCTTAGTCAGAGAATGATTTAACCATCCAGTGACAACTTCCCACTCCCTTCATATTATTTTCAGCATTAAAAAATGAAATCAGACCAAAACTGAACAGTTTACATGTGCAGTTGAATATTTTAACATATGGAAGTAGGAAAAGATGCATCTTTGGCAGTACTGTGTAAGTGGGGGATTACAGAGAATACAGGTGCTACGTACGTCATGTCTGGTGGTGGCGGAGGAAGCATGTCATCAGTGCCAGGCACTGGCAGAGGGGAGGTGGGATCATAAGCATAGGAGCCAGTGCTGAGCTCCAGGCCTTCAGAAGTGAAACCGTCTCCTGATCCAATACTGCCATTCAGACCCTCAGTGGAATTCCTTTAAAACAAATGTAATTCACAACTAAGTTCCTGTAATGCAAATAGTTCACTTTAGCAGTAATATGTAAAGACTGGTTTTGAAAACATTACAGCCATAAAGTTTTTTAAAGCTAATGAATTAACTGATGGATAAATATGAGTTTGTCTTAATGTAGTATAAAAATTGACAATGGATTTCGGATAATAACTGATAATAATTGTGAGTGAACCAACATTGTTCTCAGAAACTCATAAAAATGTTTAAACAATAACAAATCATGAGCAGTACAGGAAAACAGATACAGAAAAACAGCAGCAGTGACATAAATGGACAGAATCAAATTAGATGACCAAAGACAAACAGCAACAATAAAATGAGGAAGTTAAAATAACAGCTGAAACCGAGTTCTTAGAATAAAAAAAGGTCAAGGCAAAACTTTGTAACAAAATATGGTTCCCTTTAAAGTTCACTCCAATCACTTCCCCTCTTATTCAAAGATTTTACTGATAACACTCAACACTGTGCTCTGAAATGAGTCGGGCACTAGTTTACTGCAATTTGCCAAACACAAGACACTACACCCAAGCCCCTGGGAACATTTCTAGACAGGACATACCACTGACTGCTGTGTCCTGATAAGAGAAAAGAAATTTGGTCATGCCAAAACTCTGTGACTTTGTTGTTAGCTTTAGTAAAAAAATTAATCTTTAAACAATTTAGTTGCAATTATAAATACACTGACAGTCTATTCACAACATTTATGCACTAGCACAAAGACCATTAACATGTGAAGACTTTCAGCTCCTTTAAATCCATTTATCAACTTACATCATGTCATTCTTAGGCACCACAAACTCCTCCCCCATCTTGCGGCGTTCCCATTCCTCCTTCCGGGTCTTGATTTTGCGTGGATTGAGGTTTCTTTGGTGCAGATGGTCCTTCTTCTCCTTCTACTCAGAAAGGAGGAACAAAATTCTTTACACTGATATCTACTACACACATATATGTATACATATCAATGGCTTGTGCATGTGTGGGTCTACACAAGCAGTGTCACATGTCTCACTCTGTGCTTGCGTTTCTCCTTCATGATGTCCTTGGTGTCCTGCAACATCTTCTCCTTCCACAGATCGAAAAAGTAGGAGGGATCCGTGTAAAACTTCAGGGCTTCCCTGCCATCATCCCTGCAGACAAAAATATCATGTTCAAGTTCAAGTTGATACTACAGACAAGTAAAAAGGTTTTGTGCATTCAATGCACAAAAAAATTGAGGATCCTCAAATTGAGGATGGAAAAAAGCTTAAGATGGAAAACCAGCAACTAAGACTGGGTGTAGACTTTTCACCACTAACCTAGCTGGTGCCCTGTGGCACTCCTCAGTCACCTTTTCTTTGTTGCTAAAGTGACTAAAGTGTGTAATGACATATTTTCTAGACCTTACGGTAGACGGTTGTGTCTCATTCTGGCCATATTCAGTCATCACAAATTAACAAAACATTAGCTTATAAATAAGTGCTAAAAGGAAACAGGACTTAACTTACCTTGGACCTAATATTTAGGTTTTTTGATTCTCATTTCTCAAACATACAGTAAATGACAAAGGGTGGCTGAGAATAGTTTTCTATCTGCAGCATGTGTCAGCACATTAACAAGTTCTAACACTTCCCCTTTATATGAACTCAAGGGCCCCTGCTTGAGGCAGAATTCTATGTATCTTCTTCACTTCTAAAATAAAATAAATCTAGTGTGTATATTACTGAGCTGTCTTTACCAAACGACTTCATAATTTTTGTAAAAAAAACACTTAAACCCTAATCACTAAAGCCACTGCTATGGTGGATTATTATGCAGACTGTTTCCTCTAACAATATAACCTTTGTCAGATCTGCTTCTTATTAACCACACTTCAGATTACAATGTCTGGCCTCTTGCATAATTTAACTCTCAAAGCTGAGTTGTGAGGAAAAAAGACTTTTTCCCACAATTCTCTGCTGCTTCCATTCAATACATTTGATTTAACATTGAACAGAGATTTTTTTGAACAGAGAGATCATTTAATTAAAAAAAACTGTTTGGTATTAAAGCACGGGTATCAGACTGCTGTGGGTTTCTTAATGAATGGCCAGGACAAAAATACCTCATGTGTTTCTATGTGCCCACACGTGACTCTTCTGGGTTTTTTTGTTGTTGTTTTTTTTAAACACATCTTGTAAATAGCTCTTAGTGTGTTTAAGTGTCTGATGCCTCATACCGGTATTGGCTGAGTTGGTTGAGAGGTGGAGGTGGATTACAGACAGTGTAGGTGTCTTGAACAGGCATTGGCAAAGACGGTCTAGTGAACAGCTGCTGATCTTGGATCACACTGCTACGGAATGCCTTACGAGTGGTAATGGCCTGGAGGGAGACTGGAGAAAGAAACAGAAAGAGATAAGACAGACAGACTTAACATTTGTTTTCTAATTCAAAAACATTAACAACAATTACTTTCAGATTATTTTTTCTTACCCTCCTCTTCCTTGGGGTCCAGCTGTGTGACTTTGACCTGCAGACGATCCACTCTTTCTCCAAGTGTATTAACTCTGGTAGCAAATGCTTCGGCCTGGACAAACAATTCCCCAAACACATCCTCTGCATATTTACCTACAAACACACAGACATACGGTATGTGGGTTCACGAGTTACATATGTTTCAGAGATAATCATATTCATCATTCACAGCTACAAAGAATCTAGATCAAATGCACAGGTCATGCACACTTGTGAATGACAACTACCATGCTGTCATGAACAAATAACAGAGAAAAAAAACCCTCACAGCCAGCCATAACCAGCTGACACTTACTGAGACTGCCGAGCTGCCGGATGATGTTGGCGAGGCTGATGTTGGTGACACATTCTAGTTCACTGCGCACAGTTGAAGGGAGAGTCTGGCGGCACACATGCCGTGGCTCTATGTTCCTTGTCACCAAAGGCATGGTGGGCTGCAGTGGGGCAAAGAGGCCCAACCCTATTGTGAAAGAGAATGAAGATCAATTCAGAAAAAAAAATTATATATTATTTTAAATTATATTATGTATTATATACTATACTATTATATATATATACATATATAAATATAAATATATATATACACAAATATAAATATATATATACATATATAAATATATATACATATATATACATGCATACATATATATACATACATATATATATATATATACACATGAATTCTCATAATAGACTTTTATAAACTTATAAAAGACTTATTTTTCAACTTAAGTTTTGAAAAATTGTTTGGTTACCATATACATTAACCAAAATATCCATAAATATATTTTTGAAAATGTTAACTAAGCATAACATGTAAGGATTGGAGTAATGTAATGCGTGGACAATTTCTAATTGTTCTTCTCATGTTACGATCGAAAACTGTAAAAAGTATTATTCTTATCAGTAAGGAAACAAACTATGTTTAGACACAATGAAGAGAAGGAGGTAGCACAATGGGGGTGGTGCCCTCTAGCAAACAACAATGCAAAAGACAGAAGTTCTTGCTGCAACACTGAACAGTAATATTGGGATTATCCAGTCTTGAAAATGTAGTCATTGCTTCATGATAAGAGACATGGGACTATGAAGTATACAAAATTAACTTTTCACTTTTCAAATAAGTAATTATATTGTCTAAGTCACGCTGTCATGTGAGACACAGACAGGAGTGGGCCAGACAAAATAAAGCAGAAGTAAAACTTTTCAATGAGCAAATAAAACCGTTCCCGTTTCAGTGAATAACAGTAGGAAAAAGCAAAGCAAAAAAAGCAAAAGAAAAACTTTAAAATGAAAAAAACAAAAAACAAAAAACAACTTACTGAATAATGACTCAATTTACTGTAGTTGCAAAAATGTAAATATTTGAAATAAAATTCCAACAAGTCCTAGCCAGTAATAAGTGCCAAGTGTAAAATCTGTATAGAGGCTGTTGTGCAAGTAATAACTTCCTAAGGGAGTTAGGCAAGGGCTTCAGACAACATCAGCAATAGTAGACATTATTGTTCTGTAGCTCAGCTCAAGTGAGATTGATAAAAACAGTGATATTATGTAAGGATTAAACCTTTCCCTAAGTAAATGACATGATTAACGCGTAAACATAAACACAAGGACAC